ACCTGCAACGGCATTATCAGTGGACTTTGGGGGAGTCTGCTGAAGGCAGGGCCTCCATTGGGCTGCCAGTGCATCGAGGTGGCTTCCTCAATGGTTTTTAGAGCGTTTTTTTTTTTTTTTTTTTTTTAACCAGCTTTAAATCCGTGTCTTAAGTGAGAGTTGGGGGACATAGACTGCCAGATGTGAGTGGGAGCCTATTTGGTGGCACTTGGGCTCCATCCGCTGCCTGGGCCTGGTCTTGTAATCTAAGATAGCCAAGAAGAAAAAGTTAGTGTCCCTTGTAGAGTGTTGGCACAGCCCCTCCCTGAAGAGACTCTTGTGAGAGTGAAGAAGTAACAGTTCAGTAATCACACCTTGTGGAACCTGTGTCGCACAGGGATCCCTGAGACGGGGATGGAACCATGAGCCCCACTCTACAGAGAAAAACCAAAAGTGAGTCATAGCCTCACGTGGTCATCTGACCATTTTCTGTCTCCCATACATGGTGCAGTCCCTAGCAAGTGGTCTTCTAGAGTTGATTTTTTTTTTTTATTTCCCCCCACTAGTCTTTGATGGGCACTTAACTTCAGTACTACCCAGGACCTCTACTGGCCAAAGGAAGCTTAGAAGTAGCCAGGGTTCTGTGGATTGGAACTTTGGGAAAGGGAGATGTATTAGTTCAACCTCACTTCCACACATTCCTGTCAGGAATGGTCATCAAAGAGGCTATTGATTGCACTGTCTTAGCTCCCAAATGTTATGATCATGAACATTAGAACAAGTCTTATAGGAGAAAAAAAAAATATCAGGAATAAATGGAAGCAAGTTTATTTAAAATGCTTTTTCTTCACATTTTCTGCTGGGACTTCAAGGCTTTTTTCTTTTTTCCTCCAGTCTTATTTATCAACCTCAGGGCCATTCTATTTGATTGAGAAAAGGATAAGTGCAGGTGCCAAACAATGGCAGCCAGGACAATAACAGCCTCTTGTCCCTCTATGCCTTTTGTACAGCACCTTGAAATCTAAAGCAATTCTCATATAGTCTCCTCATCCACCATCCTCTCAAGTGTACTGAGGGACTTGTTTCCAGATGCTTGCTTGTAGGTGGGTGCAGGCCAGCAGTGGGAGAACGTAACAGTTGGATACACTAGACAGGACTGGGCCCATCAAGGCCAGAGGGGGCAGGTGGGGCTTGGAAGCCCAGGGAAGGTGCTGCCTGCTTAGTGTTGACTTGGCCTACTGGGCAAGTCCTCTGCGGTCCTGGTGCTCAGAAGGAAGTAGTTTGGGGTAGTTTTGCTTGGAGGCTTGGCCCTGTGTGATCTTCCTTGTCTCCAAAGAGATGGGGGCTCACTGTTGCAAAGAGGCTGGCCCCAAGCTGGTCCCTCCTGCCTCAGCTCCCAGGTAGCTGGGTCTACAGGTCTGTACCAGCTATGTTAAGGTTTTTGTAAAACCACAATAGGTTATTTTCCATATATATATACTTTTTCCTGGTACTAAGGATTGAACCCAGAGGTACCTTTACCACTGAGCTCTGTCCACAGCCCTTGTACTTTTTTGAGGCAGGGTCATGCTAAGTTGTCCAGGCTGGCTTTGAACTGGTGATCCTCCTGCCTTGGTCACAGGATTACAGCTGTGTGCACCATCTCACCTGGTCACAGTAGGTGGTTTTCTTGGCCCAAAAGAACTGAAAGTCAGTAATAGGCATAAGTACACATATAAGAATTTAGTAAATTAACTAGATGTGGTGGCACATGCCTCTGTAATCTCAGTGACTCTAGGTTGATGGTAAGAGTCTCGCCAGGTCAAGGTCAGTCTGGGCAATATTTTCTATTTTCAAAATAGAAAAATAAAAGGGGCTGGGGATGTAGCTTAGTGGTAGAGCACCCCTGGGTTCAATCCCCAGTAGTGTGGGGGTAAATGATAATGGTAGTAATGGTGACCTTTCAAAAAGTAGTCTGAATTGTTGGGAGCCACAAGGTTCAAGAGCATGTTGCTCCTAAGAGGAGGTAAGGGAGGTAGGTGATTGTTTCAAACCCAGATAGCCCTGTGGCTTTGTTTCAGATAAAAAGGGTCCTGGTTAGATTTCATCTGAAAAATGTATCTGCTAAAACCCAGTCAAATAAACTCTGTTAAGAAAACTGGTTAACCATTTCAGAGAAAAAGAGTTTTGCCCTTTGGCCATTTTTTTCTGGACTCCTCTTGGGGGAAAGAAAGATTCTCACCTCTGGTTTTGGTTCATGTAAGTTAATTAGAAGCCTCAGGTATCCCCAAAGGGTGTGACCCTGATCCTTCTGGGTGAAGGGCACCCAGCTCAGCAGTCCTCGTGGGTGTAGCCTGTGCTTCCTTGTTATCAGTTGATCAGGGAGGAGCACCTGTGGGTGTTTATGTGCAGTGAGGCAGAGTTGAAATGGGACCTCTGTGTGTGTGTGATGGGAGTGGGCGGAATTGGGACTGGCATGTGGYATGTGAAAAACAGACCTGTAACTATTTGCCAGGGACAACTGGCCCTGGCCTGACTAAGGTATGGAAAAGCCTTTTGGGGTAGGAAGAAGCAAAGTGATATCTGATTCCCCCACTCCTTGACACCAGAAAGAGCTCTCCCTGGGGCCCAAATTGCCTTAGTCCTACTGCCCTTTCCATCATTCTCTGCATATTACCTAGGCCACAAGACAGTGGGGAGGGGATGACCTTCCTCCATCCCACAGCAGAGGACCAGAGGGCCTGGCCAGAGCCCTCTTAAAGTGGTTTCCTCCTCTGACTGGCCTCCAGTCTGGGGAACCTTTTTTTCCTTTTCCTTAAGCTAACTCCTGGTCCCATGAAAGGACAAGGGCAGAAATTTGGGGGAAGCCCTGGTCCTATCCTTGGCCCTGCTTTTCTAGGAAGCCAGCCTCTCCTCTACCGTAATGGTGCCGTCATTAGAGTGTGTGGCTGAAGGAGGCAAGTTGTTAGGTGCAATCATGAGGCCTCGGTGTCTTGGAATCCCACTCTTGGGATAGGACTGGCAAGGGCCCTTTCACTCCATCTTCTTTGGGGAGTCGGGGATGCTCTCCGAGAGTGGGGTGAAGCCCAGCAGCAGGATGTGCCTCTCATAGGCCTTGGTCTGCTTAAACATGGTGTCGGTCCCATGGAGGTGGTCCAGCACCCCCAATACGCCATAGCATTGGTTGAACCTAGAGGAGAGGAGGGTACTGCAGTGCTGGACGGAGGACCATTTGTGGATCTCTCTGTCCTTCATGCTGGCCTCCTATCCACACCTATCACCACCATCCTGACCACATCCATCAGAACAACCTGGGGAGATCCTATGAGCATATATAAGGGGCCACTCCAGACCTGCAAAATCTGGAGCTGCATCCCCATCTCCCTGCCCCCTTTTTTTGAGACAGGATTTTGGTAAGTTGCTGAGGCTGGCCTTGAACTTGAAGTTCTCCTGCCTCCCCCTCCAGAATCACTGGGATGACAGGCATGTGCCACCACACCCAGCTTGGAGTCTTCCCTTGGAAACCTCACCATGTGACTCTGATGCACATGTGCTTAAGAACCTGACAGGACTATGCTTGCTCAGATATGGTCCAGGGGCCATCTGCTTCAGAACCTCTTGCCACATGTTAAAAATGCAGGTTTCTAGGCTGTGCTCCTGCAAATATTTTGATTTGAGATTTGATTTGAGTGGAACCCAAGAGCTCACATTTTAAACAAACATTTCATGTGACTCTAGGAAGTACAGAGACCACACTTGAAAAAATCCTGGGGGCTTTCAGAAAACACAACTTCCCTGGAAATGCGTGCAAGATTTTCCTGCACACACACATTTTTCTGAAGACTGTCCATAACTACATTAGAGACTCAAAAGTCTCTAAATAAAGGTTAAATTCCCAGCGACAGAAGAGCCCAATGTCACTAGCACCCACACAGTGTACTGAGAGGCTTGAAGAGTGTGGGTGGTGGTTGTTGGTCAAGGACCCCTGTGGGGAGGAGGGCCTTACTTGAGATGGTGGTAGTCATGGAATTCAGGCGAAGGCAGGAAGGGTAGGTGGTAGCCACAGTGGGAGATGGTGGTGATGATGAGGGCCAAGGAAAACCACACCGTGATGGAGGACAAATGGGAGCCCATCACAAAGGGGCCTGTGATCACTGGCAGCATGTTGGAGGCCTGGAAGAGGAAGGATGATCGGATGCAGGCCTAGGAAAGGGAGGGGACCCAGGTGGGTGTCCACTTTGCCCCAAGGTGGTACCAGGAGAAGACTTGCTTGACTCAGATCTGGAGAAGATGGAAGTGTCAGGACCTTGTTTTGTTGGAGACACTCACCTTTGTACCTTGGGACATGTTATTAATTATTTGAGCCCCAGCTTTCTTATCAGCAAAATCAGGATTACAGTGGTTGTTGGACGAATTAAGGGATTCAGCTTGTGAGGCTCCTAATATAGTCTGGCAGAGGGCAGGTTGACAATAAATGGCAACTAATTAATTGGAAGAAGAAAGGCCTTATGTGGCCTGATTCTCTGCAGGAGCCCTTAGGGAAGATGGTTGGGACCACCACTCTTCTCTGGAGATCCCGGGGCTGTACTCACCACGTGCTCTATAGGGTGGGCATAGAGAGAGGTCACCCCAATGGGGGCTGTCCACTCGTGGTGTTTCTTATGAATTCTCTTGTAGAATGTTGGGTGGTGAAGGAGCCTGGGAAAATAATTAGTACTTAATCTGCCAATTCTCCTTTCTCCTTTCTCCCTCCCTACCATCAGAAGTCAATGGTAGGGACTAGGGGTGACATCTGTGGAGTCAAGTGGAAAACACTGATTGCACTCTAGGTCTGACCCCACTCCTTAGGCTGTGTGCTCGGGGAATGGGTTACTTGGTCTCTCTCACATTCGAATAAGCTGTGAAATAAGGGYGCTGCCCAGAAAGGATTCAATAAGGCAATGAATGGGAGATCGCCCACCCCCCATACAAATGGAAAAGCTCTTTCTTGGCTGGACATTCCTCACTCGCTTGAAGCCGTCAGTTATGGGAAAAATACTTGTCTCCCTGCCACCCACTAGCGGGACTTGAGATCAGAGGGTGTTGGTCCCACACCAACAGAAGCTTCAGTGCAGAGCCACAGGTAGGGTGGGGGTGAGCTGTGCTCAGGCAGAGCCCCTGCTCACCGGTGSGAATAGTAGAACAAGACTTCCTCAATCAGGGTGAAGATGGTCAGCTCCAGAAGGAACAAGTGGAAGGTCGGCAGCTCTCGGCCGCAGGGGTCTCCCCGCCACTTGAGGAGGGGAAACAAGAAGACTGCCACGGGGAGAGTGATTACGAACTGGTTGAAAAGAACTGTGCGCACAGCCTGGCGGAGTTTCGTGGGGTCTACCTGTTGAGGGAAGGAAGTGTGAGAAGTAGGTCTTTCCCATCTGGAAAAGTGGCTCCACTGTGACCTGCTCACAGGAGCCTGTAACTCAGAGATAAATTTGGGGTGATGTCTGGGTATAGCTGGAAGCTCCTGCCTGACCCCCGACCCTGGGACTGGGGACATTGCAGCAGGAAGGCCCTGGCTGTCGGGTGGATGAGTAACACCACTCCCTTGGAGACTGCCCCACGCAGTGTTCAGGCTGCCCAAGACTGCTTCTCCCTTCCTGGTTCTGCAGATAACACCACTGTCCTCTCCATCTCAGGCCAAGCATCATGTCTTCCTGGCAGGCAACCTGGGGAGCCACCGGCATACTTGGAGAAGGTGCCAAATCCCCTAAGTGGGAGAACCTTGTTAGTGAAGGATGCAGAGACCCGAGTTATCTGCCTCCTGTGTGGGCCCAGGACAGACAGGGAAAACAAGGCAGGGTTGCTCTTCTAGCCTCTTGACTACCTCCTGGTGGTGGTGATGGGCTGTCAGGAGGAAGGCCTGCCCAAGTGTTTTCACCTGGGCCCACTGTTCACAGCTTACACCCCCCTTTGACCTCAAAATTCACTCATGTTTTATTTCTGTCCCATAATGAGGCCAGGCCTGGCCAGCCTCATTTGAGATCACATGTAAGATGAGGCCATGAATGTCTTCTGGAAATCTTGACCGAGAAGAAGGTGCCAATCTTGTCTGTTTGTCCATCCATGCATACAACTGGTACTTAGTGTTTACTATGTAGCTAGCATTTAGTGTTCTAGGTGATGAAAATCATTAAACACAACAAAAATTCCTGGCTTAATGGATTTATATTCTGGTAGGGAAGACAGGCTTTGCAAATATCAAAATATATATATTGGGTGATAAGTGTTTTAGTGACAAGGAAGTTTAAAGGAGAGAAGGAGAGCAGCAGGAGCCCCAGGTCAGGAGCGAGGCATCTGTTCACCGGGAATAGACCCGACAGGGTAGGCCTCACTGACATGGTAAGATGTAGACACACAAAAGAGAAGGGACCCGGCCAAACAGACACATAGGGAAAACGCCTTCAAGCGAAGGCCAGGCTGGTAAGAAGGTCTAGGACAGCCATATTCCTGGCCTGTGTGSCTGGATAAGAGCGAGGAGGCCGCAGGGTATTTGAGCCTGGAATTCAAGAGARTTCTGTAGGAGCTTCAATGTACAGGTGGTGTTTAAGGTCATAACACTGAAGAGATAAAGAGGGAATGAAGATAAAGAGGAAAAGAGGATCCAGACCAGAGCCCTGGGGCAGTCAACTTTAAGAGGTTGGGGAGAAGGAACCAGAAGGCGTGACTCTGAAGGAGATAAGGGGAGCGCCTGAGAATGGGGTGTCCTTGAAGCCAAGGACAAGGGAATGCACAACTGTGGCGATGCATTTGGGGACTTAATGACACAAGCCTGAGCCTGGATCATTGGTGACCTTGCAGAAAGGACTTCTGGTGGAACCCTGTTTGGGGGAGACCACCTATTGGAAGAATGTTTCTAGAGAGGCTGAGCTGATGCTTTTGTGATTATTCCTAGGAGACTCAGGCTGAAGGACTTAGGGCTGAAGTCTTACAATGTCCTGAGCTTACCTTCAAACACGTATATATTTATACATAAAGCAGAAATTGTAAAATGTTTATAATTGATGAATCTGAATGTATGTAAATGAGTGATTATTGTAAGAACTTTTTAACATTTTTGTGTCTGTGTGTTTGGTTTTTTTTTTTTTCATTATAACAAAATTTTGGGGAAAAAGTTGGACGGGGATGATTGGGAACTGGCTACGGTGCTAGTGATTTGGGGGAGGCGGGGTCAAGGATTGCTTTCTTTTTTATCATGGGAAAAATGAAAAATTATAGCCTATTTATAATGCAGAGAGGAATAATCTGGGGTTGTGGTGGGGTAGAGAGAGAGAGAGAGAATACAAAAAAARAGAGATGAGCCAGGTGTGGTGGCACACGCCTGGGATCCCAGCGGCTTAGGAAGCTGAGAAAAAGGGATCCCTAGTTCAAAGCCAGCCTCAGCAACTTATTGAGGCACGAGGCAACTCAGTGAAACCCAGTCTCTAAATAAAATACAATAAGGACTGAGGATATGGCTCAGTGGTTTGGATTCAATCCCCAGTACCCCCCCCCCAAAAAAAAAGAGAGAGAGAAAGGTGACTGGGTGTGGTGGCGCACATCTGTAATCCCAGTGGCTTGGGAGGCTGAGGCAGGAGATTGTGAGTTCAAAGCCAGCCTCAGCAAAACTTAGGGAGGCTCTGAGTAATTTAGGGTGTCCCTGTCTCAAAATAAAATATTTTTAAAGGGGGACTGGGGATATGGCTCACAGATTAAGCACCCCTGGGTTCAATTCCTGGGACCCCTCCCCCGGCCAAAAAAAAAAGGTGAGAATTGCTGAAATTGCTAAGGCGTTTTTCTGATGCAAACAAGAGGTGATAGGTGCTGCACACAGAGTGCAAGAAACTGCAGGTCAGAACAGGAAGAGTTCACCTGCAGAACCAGGTGCGCAGGCAGAGGACACAGACACTGTTGCCAGGAGGCCCATGAGGTGTCTGTGAAGCTCTCTTGTGCTTTAGTTCTCTGAGTGAAGCAGGGAGCAAGGCCAACCCCAGGGAGAGAGGTTAGTTGGGGAGGCACTGGTGATTCCAGCTTGCAGATGTGCCCCAGGCATCCAGGGGAGTGGGACAGTAGCTAGACAGAGATGGACTGTGTGAGTGCCAGGTAGCATTTGGCCCCCATTTGAGGATCTGCTTCTGATAGTTTCTCCTGGGGTCAGTCCTTTCTGGAGAAAGCCAAAGACTAAATGGCCCTGGGAGGTTCCTTCCTACCTGTGTACCCACCTGGGCTGCACACAGTACAGGAGCACTGAATTTGGAGTCAGCTGGGATGGGCCCTGGCTCTGTGTCCTAGTCACAGACTGATCTTCAGCAAGTCCCTGCACCTTTCTGAATCTTAGCCTCTGCAAAATGCAATGGAACTTCCCTACTATCTCCTCATTGCAGACTGTCAGGTTGTACAGAGGTTGGTGATGTTCTTGAGCTGATTTGTTGTTGTTGTTGTTTGGTACTGGGGATGGAACTCAGGGGCACTCGACCACTGAGCCACATCCCAGCCCTATTTTGTATTTTATTTCTCAGGGTCTCACTGAGAGACAGGCACTGAGTTGCTTAGTGCCTCGCCATGGCTGAGGCTAGCTTTGAACTCGCAATCCTCCTGTCTCAGCTTCCCAAGCCACTGGGATTACAGGTGTGTGCCATGGTGCCCGGCTTGAGTTGATGTTGACTGGTAGTTAAGAGCATGAGTCCTGGAATCAGGAAGCCCAAGTCTGAATCATGGTTCTACCTATGGAACATTTTAGAGCCTCCATTTCCTCATCTGAATAGTGATGCTAATTATAGTTCTTGGTGGATGCTAAAGAGAGCCATCATGCTGGGAGCTGTGGCCCACGCCTGTACACCCAGGGACTTGGGAGGCTGAGGCAGGAAGATCGCAAGTTCAAAGTCAACCTCAGCAACTTAGTGAGACCTAAGCAACTCAGCAAGACCTTCTCTCAAAATAAAAAATAAAGGGCTGGGGACATGGCTCAGCGGTTAAGCGCCCCTGGGTTCAATCCCTGGTCCAAAAAAAAAAAGAGAGAGAGAGAGATCCATCAATGAAAGATGAATATCAGGCTTTGACTCTCTGGGCTCACGTCCTGCCAGGCTGGACCTGGAGGAAGTCTTCCCAGCTGGCTGGTGGTTGTCATCTCAAGAGAAGGGCAGTGTGTGCCAGGCCAGCAGCTCCCTTTCAGGAAGGGGGCATTCTGAAGGGCTGAGTCAAGAGCACAGTTTACCTGTTCTGCCTTTCTGAAGTGCTAGGCCGGGTCAAAATGCCCTGAGAGCTGGGTGATTCACCCAGGCACCTAGCCACATGATCAAAAGATGATTGTTGTTTTAGCAAGGAAAGCAGCCAGAATGTATTTAGGGTGGAGCTGAGGAAAGAATCTGGGTTTCAGAACCAGACTTTTCCCTGTTGTGTAAGAGAAGGTTTGTGGAGCTTGTCAGAGCACCAAGCAGGCCAGCCAGGCCCCTGGAGTGGTGGGACTCCCTTCCTGGTGCCAAGCAGGTTGGAGCTCCCCCTAAGCAGGGTCTGGGCTTTTGTTCATCATAGATTTCCCCAAGTAASTTGCACCATTGGTTCAACTGAATAATTAGGAAGGAGGACCGGCTGAAAATGCAATATCTCAAGCTGGGTTCTGTGGTCCACCACTGTAATCCCAGCTACTCAGGAGGCTAAGGCAGAAGGATGGCAAGTTCAAGGCCAGCCTGGGCAACTTAGTGAGGCCCCCATCTCAGAATAAAACAAAAAGAGCTAGGGATGTATTTCAGTAGTAGAGTGCCTGACTAGCATGTAATAAGGCATGGGTTGACTCCCTAGTACCCAAACACAACAACAATACAACTGCCATCTCTGCCTTCAGAGTCCATACTCCTCTGTTAAGGTGAGATTATTGCTTGTCTTGGTGGCTGTCAGTCTCACTACCTAGGTTCCCACGACAAAGAGGAGCCATCCAACATCCCTGGCATGGCCTAGTACCAGGCTGAGATGACTACTTTTTTTTTTTTTTTTTTTTTTTGGTGGTGTTGCTCGGGATCAAACCCAGGGCTTTGTGAAAGTGATGCAAGCACTCTACCAACTGAGCTATGTCCCCAGCCCCCTGAGATGATGACTTCTGTCCCTAAAATGCCGACTGTAGGATTGAAGGGCAGCACCCCAGGTACAGAGCCAGGCCTGGGAATCAGGAGACAAGAACACTGGTGTACACTGACCCCTGGCTGAGTGACTCTGAGATTCAGGGCAAATTATTTTCCTCTCCTAATCTAAATTGAGGGAGACTTGCCAATGACTTCTTTGCTCACACTGGCCCCTCTGGGCCGGCAGTAAGAATTCTGAGACTGGCTTTCTGGGCTTTGACCAAGAGAAGTCACAGCAACTCTTACCGGTTCGTTCTTGCCAACCTGAATTCGGTAGCGGGAGATGAAGTTGGGTCTTCCAGTGGTGTCCACCACCAGTAGAAGCCCATTGAAGGCCCAGAAGAGCAGACAAGGCACGTGGGTGGTACCTGCAGTTTGAAAGCAGGAGGGAACAATCAGGGTGGCATTGGGCTTTGCAACACACATATTAACTGAACACAAGAGTTAGGGTGACTGTGCCTGGCTAGGGGGGGTCTTGGTGCTGGACACCAAGGGCCCTACTTAGAGTCCTTGTTGAAAAACCAGCTGTGGGACCACGGACAGGTCACTTAAGGAATATCTGTATTTTTTTTTTATCTTGGCTATAAAATGGGGACAACAATCTTTAAGGTTGTTAGATACACACACACACACACACACACACACACACACACACACATCAAAGGGTGTTCCTGCACATCATATACTCTAACAGAAATGATTTGAAATTGGCCTTTGGGAGGTTGTGCCTACAAAGCCTTTATGAACTAACTGGTGAAGTGCTTGGGTATGGAGGGTTCGCGGTGGGCCCTGGTCTAGGAGTCACCTGGGGAACCTGATCCCTGTTACCTAGCATGGAGGAGTGGGACTTCAGGTGTCATCAGGGCTGCATTTCCTGAAGTGTAAGGCTGTCAGCTCTTTCATCAGAGTCTTCATGCCCTACTCTTTTGGAGAACCCTGTCTGGTCCATAAAAGTGTGTTCATGGCTCGGAGAATTCCTACAGCAGGAAACCTGTTTGATTTTGTTAATATCAATCTTTCCCAGCCTTGTTTGACCCTAGAACTGTTTTCTCAGAACATCTAAAAATAGGATGTCACGATGTCACGTGTCCCTGTTTGCACAGGATGATTTCAATTTATAGCTGGCATTGTAGAATAATTATGAATAACACCTCATTTTACCCTTATGAGTTTCCTTATTTGGATAATAAATAGTATATCCTCTTCCACCTATTAACATTCTACAGCATTGACGTGCTACAGAATATTTCAGAAAATATTCAAAACTTAAAAAAGATTTGAGTGGCGCACACCTGTAATCCCAGTGGCTTGGGAGCCTGAGGCAGGAGGATCACAAGATCAAAGCCAGCCTCAGCAATTTAGCGAGGCCCTAAGCAACTTAGTGAAACCCTGTCTTAAAATAAAAAATAAAAAGGGCTGGGGATGTGGCTCCATGGTTAAGTGCCCTGGTGTTCAATCCCTGGTACCAAACAACAACAACAACAAACTTATATTTGTTTCAAGGACAACTTCACTCTGTGTCTCTGCTCCCCCTCCCCAAGCCCCCTCCATCCTCCATCAGTGTCTTGTGGTAGGTAGGACATGAGAGAGACCTGGCCATCACTGTAGGGGCATAGGATTGGTGCAAACCATCTGGAGGATAATTTGGTAATATCTGAAGTAAAAAAAAAAAAAAAAAAAGTGAGACAGAGACAGAAAGAGATAAAGAAAGCAAAAACATATAGATTCGTATTCAAACATGTCCATCACAGCATTTTTTTTTAATCATAAGAAAACATTTAAAGCAGACTTAAAGTCCATTAGTAGGGAATGGTTAATATGTTAGAGTCCTTCCATATAATGGAATAGACTGRGCCGCTGAAAATATTAAGTTTATATTGATTGACATAATGATGTGCCYACAGCCTATTCAATAAAAAAAAATGGGTTTAAAAAAATAGTTGGTGTGCTAAGCATGGTGGTACACGTCTGTAATCCCAGCAATTTGGAAGGAGGATCTTAAGTTTGAGGTCAGCCTCAATAACTTAGTAAGACCYTGTCTCAAAATAAAAATAAAAAGGGCTGGAGATATAGCTTATGGGAAAGCTCCCCTGGGTTAAATTCCCAGTCTATATATACTTGATGTCTGATAGATATCATATATATCCAATGTATTAGAGATGCACACTAATATATTAATAGTGGTTATTACAAGTTGTCTGATTTTTATTTTTAACAATGAACACATGTATTTTTATACTCAGATATAATWAGTATAATAATATAATAATAAAGTTCTTTTTATGCTGGGAATAAAAATGTTGGGTTGGTAGTTACCCGGGGGTGTAGGGGTGTGTGTGGGATGTCCACTAAAGTTCCTACTTGGAACTGTGAAGGTGAGTGGAGGAAGGCAGTATGCAAACCACTATGTAAAATGCCCTTGAACTTCCTTCCAGCAAATGTCTTCTCTCTCTAGTGTTTTTCTTACCTCCCAGATAATAGGTGGTTTATCTGTTTCACGTCACTGAAACAGAAGCATATAATATGATTTCCAGTCATTTTCCCACACGTCTGTGATCTGTTGTCTCTCAGTGATTGCTTAATATCCCACTGAACCTTGTGAGTTTAATCAGAATTCTCCCAGCTGAAAATGATCCCCAGGGACATTGTTTGTACTTTTGCTTTGGGACAACTGACACTTTTTTTGGTTAACAGTGGGGACTGAACCCAGGGATGCTCTACCACTGAGCTATGTCCCTTTTCATTTCTTGAGACAGGGTCTTGCTAAATTGCCCCGGCTGGCCTCAAAATTGCAAAACTTCTGCCTCAGCCTCCCAAGCAGCTGGGATTACAGGGATGTGCCATCAAGCCTGGCCACATTGTACTATTAATATCATTTGAGTGAATGAATGTGTAATTGAGGATGTTCACTATGACAGGTAATGTTACAAATGTCTAGGTTTAAATGGATTTTTCCTTCCATGATGTTTTCTTAGGCTAGTTTGGAGGCATTTATGCTATCTAAATATTATCAAGTGGCCACTTGCTAAGAACTAGATTGTACCAGGTACAGGAGCACAGTTTAAGACAAAATAGAGTAGTTTTCTGCCCTTGTGGAGTTACATGTAGAAGCAGGATTATGGCTCTGAACATGGATTCATTTTTACATAAAACATTTCTTATTTTTCTATATATATATTTTTTAAAGAGAGAGTGAGAGAGGAGAGATAGAGAGAATTTTTAATATTTATTTTTTAGTTCTCGGCGGACACAACATCTTTTGTTGGTATGTGGTGCTGAGGATCGAACCCAGGCCGCACGCATACCAGACGAGCGCGCTACCGCCTGAGCCACATCCCCAGCCCCTATATTTTCAGTAGAGGGTCTTCAACTTTTTTTTAATAAATTTGTCTCCATTTTTAAAAAGTTGTTCTACTTAGTTATACATGGGGTCTTAAACTTCTTAGCTTCTTTTCTTAGATATCCCGTGTCTGTACTGTCCTCAAGCTTAGTACTCTTTTGTAGCACCCTTGTCAAGTTCTCATCCCTGGGAATAAAGAACTAAGAAGTCTCCAAGTAGAGAACAAAAGAAAAAGAGTGAAACCAGGCTGTGTGCCCTCCCCTAGGCACTGTGGTCTGGAAACCTCACCTATAATGAAGAGGATCCACTCTTTCCCTTCAAAGGTCGACAGCAGTCTCTCCCACTGGGCTTGCCAAAAGTAGCCAGAAGCACCCCAAAATCGCTGAAGATGCCTTGGAAGAAAATCCACTAAGTTTCTGATTAAAGACTGATGGTCGGAGAGTTCCTTCCTCCAAGCTCTGCCCCCGACCACACCACCACTGTCCGCAGGTCCTGGATTTGAGCTGGGCCAAGCCGACTTACCATGTGACTGAGTTCCAGAAGGCCACAAACAAGAGAAGACCGGAGCCCAGGATGAAAGCCGTCCTCCTCATGGAGCCCCAAATGTGTCCCTCCTGGAGGAGGACAAAGAAGCCTCAGACCCAGCAAGCCTCCTGCCTTCCCCCAGTTCACTGCTGAGACACAGATGGGACACCATGGGACTATGGTCACCCCACCAGCTGACTTTCTCTCACATCCTGTGGGAGGCTGTTTGCTATCAAAGGTTCTGGGCCATACCTGGGTGTGTTATATAAAGCAGAGCTTCAGGTTCAGAGAGGGAAGGGAATTATTACCATGACCCTGGAAAAATTGTTTGGCAATTGAACATTCAAAGAGAGACAGGCAAGTCTTCCAGCTATTGTGCAATTTGTCACCAGGCCTCTTGGCACATGGAGATAAACCATCCTCTGCACTTTGGAATCACCATTAAAAAAAAATATATATATATATATATATATCTCACAATGCCCAGGGTCCTCTCCAACCCAATTACACAAGAGTCTCAGGGAGGGCCCGGATCAACCTTTCCAGTAATTCTAATGAACAGGCAAAGTTGAGACAATCACCAGAGAAGGACCTGCAGAATCTACGAGGAGCAAAACTCTCCTAGGTCAAAGGAGCTCACTGTGTCCATGGGTCAGGCCTGTTTTCCCAGCTCCACCACCCTCTTGTCCTTGAAGAAGAGTGTGTTGAACACACACTCTGACTTTTAATAATCCCTTTGTCTTAGATTAGCCGGGGCTGCCAGCTGGAGGGGAAGATTAGCTGTTCTGAGAGAGGCCATTGTTGGGTGGCCCTCATATGTTCTTTCCAAAAGGTCCTTCTCTGAATCAGAGGTCACTGCGAGTTCAAAGGGCAAAGAGCAAAGTGCCAGACCCAGAGCAGGAAAACACTGGCTTCTAGGTGTGTCACTAATTCCCCTTGCACTATGGATAGGAATGACAAATGTCATACCCATACTGTGTGTCTAAGTCTCTTGGTAAGAGAGAGCTGGAGGTGGTAGTCCCAGCTCATCTACAGTTGGTGAATGAGGTCAGGTACAGGGGGTCAGGAGGGGTTGCTGACTGAATGAGGGCAGGTACAGTTCAATCCAGACCTTCAAGATCTGAGGGTTTTTGAGATGAGGGTCTCCTGTGTGGCCCAAATTGGCCTTAACCTCGTGGTCCTCCTGCCTCAGCCTCCTAAATAGCTGGGATTATTGGTGTGTGCCACCATGTTCAGTTGAGCACATTCAAGCAGTCTGAATTTTCACTGAACCAAATTATTTCTCCTCAACATTACCCCATCAACAACAACAATAACAAAACAAGTCATTTTTCTTTTCCCCATGGCCACTCAGATTTTTGCAGGACTGTGCTTGTCAGGATGCTGAACTCTGGAAACAACTCCTCTCTCTCTCTGCCCCCTGCCCCCTCCTTCTTTCTCTCTCTCTCTCTCCTTCCTGACCCTCCTCAGACTGCAGTGGCCAGACAGATTGCTCTTCCACACAAACCATTCCGAGGTCAACCTGAGTCACTAAACGGGTTACCTTGGACTATTCAGATTATTCCCTTTTTAGGATTCCCAAGACTCTTTTCAGGAACTTTTCTTGGGAATTTTTCATCTTCTGAGTATCATCAAACCAAATTAAAACCTCAATTTCATATACAGGATTACAAATTTATCCGGGATGGTGGGTCTTCTAATCTACCTAGCAGCTCCCCAAAATTGTAGAAAGGAGTGGAGCAAGCTGCGGGCTGTGGGCGGGCAGGGCAGGGCACAACAGTGAGACTGAATCCCCTCCTTCCCTCACTCACTAGGGCAGTTATAAGGGAGTTTGGAGTCAGCTGTCCTCTGTTCAGCCAATGAAATGAGACCATCACCTTGTGGTGGCCACCCCTAAACCTTGGCGGAAACCTCAGATCCACACCAGTCTAAATATGGAAAGAGCCCCTGGCTACCGTCTTACCAGTATGCTGGGTGGGGTGCTCACATTGAGCTGCTTGGACTTCCCGACGTTCCCAGCCTCTCCCTTCATCTGGAAAGAGAAAGTACGGGTGAGCGGGTTTCCTTCCACATGCAACAACTGAGCAAAGGGGGAATGGAAGAAGTCAAGCCTGGCATGCATGGGTTTTTATTTATTTATTTATTTATTTTGGTACAGGGGATTGAACCAGGGGTGCTTGGTTATTGAGCCACATCCCCAGCTCTTTTTATTTATTTATTTWTTTTATTTTGATACAGGTCTTGCTGAGGTTGACCTGAAACTTTGGACCCTCCTGCCTCAGCCTCCCGAGTTGCTGGGATTACAGGCATGCAGCTGGCTAAACCGGCAGCTTTTGTCCCTGGAACCAGACAAATTATTCTAAAATTTATACAGAGAAATAAATAAGCAGGAAATAGCTAGAAAAATGCCAGAAAAGAACAAGAGTGGTACACGGAAGGGCACAAAAATACTAGATCTACCGACTGTAAAAACAGGAAGCTTCTTTAAAAATGTGTTTATTCTCTTGCTGGGTGTGGTGACACGTGCCTGTAATCCCATCAACTCAGGAGGCTGAGGTGAGAGGATCTTAAGTTCAAGGCCAGCCTCTACAATTAAGTGAGGCCCTGAGCAACTTACAGGGTCTTGTGAGACCCTTGCTYAAAATGAAAAATAAAAAGAGCTGGGATGTGGCTCAGTGGTAAAACACCCCTGGGTTCAATCCCCAGTATCATCAAAAAAAAAAAAAAAAAAGAAAGAAAGGAAAAAAATGTATTCATTCTCTCATTTCTTGCAGTTAGTAAAGAGTTTTTGCTATAAAAGAACAGACTTGSTGGGCACTGTGGCACACGCCTGTAATCCCAGCTCCCTGGGAGGCTGAAGGAGGAGGATCTCGAGTTTAAAGCCAGCCTCAGCAATTTAGCAAGGCTGTAAGAAACTTAGTGAGACCTTGTCTCAAAATTWAAAAAAAAATAAAAATACAAAGGACTGGGGTTAGGTGCCAGGGGTTCAATTTCTCATACCCACCCCCCCCAAAAAATTCCAGTGTTAAACTTAAAAGCTGATAAACACATGTTAAAAACTGATAACATCTCTARCAGATAGCCCAAATGAGGCACTGTCCAATGTATATGCTGAATTAGATATTTCTTATTTCTGAACATACAGACATATTGAATAAAATTTTCCTCTGCTTATCCCAGTCAACGTGTACATACATAAACTCCTTTGAATTTTAGAAAAACTTTATTCTAAGTAGATTAGGTAGTACTTTGGTACTACAATTTTGGTCTAACTTTGGTAAAGAAAGATTATTTCATAAAAGTTCCCCTACTTTTATATGAGATGTTAATCTGATAACAGACTTTCTGGAATTTCCTGATAGACTTTCTAACTTTCTAACATGTCTATGATGTACACCTAAGCAATATCTCAGAGGCAAGAGATATTTTAAATAAAATTTTGAAAACTGGGAATGTTGCTCAGTGGTAAAGGACCCCTGGGTTCAGTTCCCAGTACTGAAAAAAACCCAATTGCCCAWCAAAGCAAAGACCTTTTTCCAGGCTAGATTCTTCCATGGACTCCKATAATCCTGCCTGGGGCGGCTGAGGCACACCCACATTCAGCCATTGCTACTCATAATAGCCCAGGAAAGGAAGCAAGCACATGTCTGAGAATGGCTGAAGAGATAAAATTTGGTATGCACATAGGATAGAATTTTATTTGGCCTTAAAAAAAAAAAAGAAGCAAATGGGTGAGTGTTACGCAAGTCACAGTAAGTGAAATAAGTCACACAAAGAGAAATACTGCATGAATCCACTTTCTGAAGTAAGGTACATAAGGTAGTCAAATTCATAGAACCAAAAAATTAAGTGATGGTGATACGAGGGGTTGGGTGGGGAGGGAAAATGTGGAATGGTTGTTGAATGCATATGTGCATCAGTTTTGCAAGATGAAAAGGTTCTGGAGATCAACAGATGTGAGCACATTTAGCGCTGCTGGACCAGACACTTAAAAATGGCCAAGATGGTGCCAGGCAGCGGAGGTGGTGCATGCCTGTAATCCTAGCGATTTGGTAGGCTGAGGGAGGAGTTTCKTAAGTTCAAAGTCAGCCTCAGTAGCTTAGTAAAAACTTGTTTCAAAATAAAATTAAAAATAGGGCTGGGGAAGTAGCTYAGAGGTAGAGAGTATGCCTGGGTTAAATCCTTGGTACCATAAATAGATAAATAAATAAATACTGACAATTAATTTTATGTTTTATACCACAGTTTGGGGAAAAAAAAGCTTTAATAACTAAAAGTGAAGTGCTAGTATTTATTTTGGTCGGGGGGTATCAGGGATTGAACTCAGGGGCACTTGACCACTGGGCCACATCCCCAGCCCTATTTTGTATTTCATTTAGAGACAGGGTCTCACTGAGTTGCTTAATGCCTCACTTTTTTTTTTTTTTTTTTTTTTGCTGAGGCTGGCTTTGAACTTGCTATCTTCTTGCCTCAGCGCTGGGATTATAGGTTTATAGGCGTGCTCCCCCGTGCCCCACTTTGAGTTAATTTTTGTATGTGGTGTAAGGAAGGGGTCCATCTTCATTCTTTTGAATGTGAATATCCAGTTGTTCCCACTCCATTTGTTGAAAACCATTCTCTGTCATTGAATTGTGTCCGTGTCCACCCCCCACCCCCACCCCGTCACACTGAATTGAATTGTCATTRAAATGTCTATTGGCAACAAGAGTGTTTCTATGTGGTTGAAATGTGGGGCCATATGAATGTGTTAACTGGTCAAAACTTCCAATTCTAATTTTAAAAATTACTATTGATAATCAGAAGGCACTTTCTCCTCCATCATTCTGTCATCTGGGCAGACATCACCCAGCATCTGTCACCTGAGCCTGGACAAAGCTCACAGGCACAGCCACAGCCAGGGCAGGCATGTCAGTCCACAGGAGGTGGCCCAGGTTAACCCCGTGGCACCCCCGGTGCTTAGGGTCATCAGGTGGCTGAAGAGGAGCATTACAGCTCATCAGGGGGCAGGGATGACAGAGCCCAGACTAAGGGAGACCAGGTGTGCTCCCAGAGTCTATAGGTGACATGCCAGAGAGCCAGGATCAGGCCTAGCTTCCACGTGGGACTTCGTGCCCCTTAGTTTCCTTTCTACAGGTATGTATTGTTCTTGGTTTTATTATTTCAGAGGCTGGTGAAGGCGATCCCCCACTCACTGTCTTGACAGGGTCACAGTGAGAAAAAGTGTTGGCAAAGCCGCTCTCCCACTGTCTTGACAGGGTCACAGTGAGGGTGAATGCTGGCAAAGCCACTCTGGTTGGTGGGAAACCGAAACCATGAGACCTTTTTTCATGTAATTGGGACTTTGCATTTTCATGCTTATGTTTCTCACAGGAGGTATGAGTATGTTAAATGCCAAACAAATTAAATTTCAGGTGGCTAGAACAAAACAGGTAGTTCATGC